TTTAACAGTTTTATTGAGATATAGTTCACGTACCATACAATTCATCCATTTAAAGCATACAATTTAATGGTTTTCAATACATTCACAGATGTGTGCAACTATCACAATTTTAGAACATTTTCATCACTCCAGAAAGAAACCTCATATTCTTGTGCCTTTCACTTTAAAAGAGATTCAGAGTTTAGCTGTCATACACTCTTCTGCTCCATGTTTTCATTCAGGAAATCTAAAATTGTTTTTCTCTCTACTCTGTTGTAGTGAATTCCTAAACCTTAAAATGTTAATGAAATACTTGTGTGACACCTTTCCATTTTGCTTCGTAGGAGATTAAGTCTAAGACTGAGACTCAAATCTGCTAGCTGGGTCCATTACACAAGTTCACTACCTGAATACGGGGGTATGTGTATGTGTGTGTGTGTGTGGGGGGGGATAGTGAAAGAAAGCTTTGAAGATGAACATAAAAAATGTAAACAGCCTCTTTTCTATAGTATTAGGTGGGAGTGTTCAGCTTGCCATGTGTACTGAGCTACAAATACAAAGTAAAGCTATTTACGTTAGCAAGACGACTATCAGTCACTCTCATTTTGACTGCTGAAAAGCTGGGGCTCTAAACAATTCCAAAACTGCGGAGTAGCTTACATTATAATGATGCCGCTATTAAACAGAAAAGCCACCGACTTTGAGCCAGGATGTTAGAAATTTGCCTTATTCACAGGATCCCCTCCCTGCTAGTCAAAAAGAAAACAAACAAACAAACTCACTGCCATCGAGATAATTCCGACTCCTAGCGACCCCCTTCGGGTTTCTAAGACGGTAAACCTTACATTTATTGCCCAGTGGATTGATTGCCCAGTCTTCCTTCCTCAGAGTAGCTGGTGGGTTGGAACCTCCAGCCTTCTGGTTAGCAGTCAAAGCCTTAGGAACTAGGTCACCAGAGCTCCTTTCCTAGTCAGAAGGAACCAACAATACTCCAAAACTTCCCCCACCCCACCCCCACCTTAGCCATTTATGAGATTTAGACAATTAGCTCCCAGGGCAAAAATGAATCATTTGTGGTGATCACTGCATTCAAGGCAAGAATTATCTTTGATTGCATTTGTTGGCAAATAAAAGGTATCAACATTGAAAGGGGCATTCTAAAAGAGATTTCTTAAATGCTTTATTTCCTGGATATTCAAATCTGGACCTACTTCACATCTTAACGTGTGTAAAACGGCCTTGAATATTACCTTAAGATTTCCAGTAACAAGATTTCCAGTAACAGCTTTGAATAGGCTATGAAAGTCTCCAGGGGTATGTGAGAAATTACTGTAGCTTTGCTTTAAAAAAAAAAAAGTGATGTCTAAGTGTGTCTGCAATGTTCTATTGCTTCACAACATGTAGGCAAGTCTTGTTTATCTGGAAATCATTTCTTTCTGCTTATATCATTTATAAATAGAAAATGTTCTGCAATAACTTAAAATAGCTCTACATACATAATGCTTCTGGGGTCATAATACCTCGCACTAGCCTATATTTACCGACATTTATCACATTTTACAAAATGAAGTCGAAAAAAAGGACTATTTTATGGCTCTGGAATTCCAGTAATGGTAACCAACGTGTTTCAAATTCCAGTAAATGTTATGGTTACATTTCATCAAGTGTCCCTTTCCTTTTTCTCACCTCTGCAGAGGTAAACTTACAAGAGGGGGTGGGGGGGAGTCTCTTTGCTCTCAAGCAAGGCATTTGCAAAACCAGGAAACAAGAGTTAGTGTTTTAAGGGTTGCCTTTCTCGGTGCCAAAACTTTCTAGTGTAATTTCCCACAATACACGTGATCTATTATGTGTAGCGTGAAGCGCTCTGTGTCATAATCTCAGAAACCTCCAACATGGAACTGATAATGCTGCATGAGGTAAACCCTGATGGCTCCCATGTTTCGCCTAATTAAATCTGTAATTATTCCTCATTACGTAAAAATGTAAGATAACAACAAAAAATCAAAATGAAAGAACAAAATGGCGTTTGACCTTTTAACAAGCTCATATAAAATATATTTGGGATAAAATAAAGGGGAATGTTTGCCAAGAAGTTGAGAGTTTGAGGGTCTCCTTTAATAGCACATATAATTAAATATCAAAGTTCCCAATTATAGATTGCTTTGCTTTCAAAGATAACTGTAGTAGGAGGATTAATAAACGCCCAGAAATATGCTTTACTTTTCTTCTGGCCAAGAAGATTCCTGCACTCTTGCCAGAAAATGTTCATTGATTGCTGCTGCTATTAAGGAGTGTAAGATATCGAAACCAAAAAAAAAAAAAAAAAAACCTCACTGCCGTGGAGTGGATTCTGACTCATAGCGACCCCCTTTGGGTTTCCGAGGCTGTAAATCGTTATCGTAGATTGCCCAGTCTTCCGCAGAGTGGCTGGTGGGTTTGTACCTCCAACCTGCTGGTTAACGGTCAAATGCCTTGGGCACTACCCAAACCGGAGTTCCTAGAAGACCCTAAAATAAGATCCAGAAGGCATCTAACGCACCACCAGCAGTGTCCAGTCAAAGCTCTCCCAGTAAGAGGAAAAGTTTTTGCATTGGCGCCAAGAGGCAACCGGAGGCAGTATCTACCCGAGTCGCAAGTCCCAGAGAGCAGGAGTTAAAAGCGTCATTCAACAAGTCCCTCCTTCCAGCTCCCAGAGGGATCCTGCAAAACCTTTCCTTACTACTCCCCCACCCCCAGAGCTGCGCGCAGCCGCTTGGCCAGCAGAGGGCACCCTCCCCCTTCCCTAGTGTGGCTCTCCCCGGCCCCTCCTCCTCCTCTTCCCGGAGCCCTTCCATCCTCGTCCCTCCACTCCACTCCACCCCCAATACACAAACACTACATCCTTCCACAGACTCCAGTTCACCCTCGCAGTCCGAGGCTTTCTCATCTTGGGGGTGCCTCTAGTCTGCAACTCTCCCATAGCCGTTCCCCGTCAGGCACAAAGCCCAGTTGTTGTTAGGCTTGGAATGTGTTTCGACTCTTGGCGACCCTATGTACAACAGAAGAAACACTGCCGGGTCCTGCGCCATCCTCACATCTTGCTCCATTTGAGCCCATTGTTGCAGCCCGTATCAATTCATCTCCTACAGGATCTTCCCCTTTCTCGCTGACCCTCTCTCGGTTATTTCTTTCCTAGAGGAGTTCCCTCACCCATCTCTTTTCACCGCTCTGCATTCCCAAATAACCTAACCCAGTCAAGTCCCCTAGTCGCCTCTTACTTCCTACCCACCCCGGAAAGTCAAAACTTTTACGTCCTTAGAAGGTGCCCCAAGGGGCAGGTTGTGAGTTGATGCTAGCCTCGGAGTCCCACATCCCCTTCGGGTGCGAGAGGCAGGAGTGTCCCAGGTTCGCCAAACTACTTTGGCCTTGGACTTGTTAGTCCGCTTACGTCTCAGCTCCTAGGGAGCAGGTGACCGTGTGCAGCTGGGATGGAGCCCCGGGGTTAAGGATGGGGACTGAGGACGCACAGGCTCCCCGAAATCTGCTAGGGGGCCGCCCAGCCCGTGAGGAAGATTCCTATCCCAGCCTCGCCACACTCCTCCGCGGGAGTCCCCGAAAGCCGGCGCCCCAAATCTCGCTCATGACTCCTCCAGTTCGGAGGAGGCTGGGGAGGGGTCGCCGGGGTCCCTTGTCGCAGCCCCGGGTCTCCTCTAGGGCCTTCTCGCCCCCTTTGAGGACTCCCCGAGGTCTGTCTCCCTCGGAGTCCCGACTGCTCCTGTGGATCTTGGGAAGGGAGAAGGGTTCCTAGGAGTAACTCCAAAAGCTCTTCTCCCGGAAGGGGAGAAAGAAGGAGTTCTGGCCTCTTCCCACAACTTCGGGGCCCACCAGCTAACTTTCCCCCGCGGACGTGTGAATCCCGCGCCAAGCCCCGCGCCCGGCACCCGCCTACCTCGGGGTCCACACAAAGCTCACGGGTCCCCGGCGGCGGCGTCACATCGTTGTCCCGCCGCGGCCCCTGAACCCAGCCCCAGTTCCCGTCCTGGTTCCGCTCCACGCCAGTCCCACAGCAGCGCTGGCAGCTGCAATCCAAGTGGCTCCTCAGAGCTTCACCAAAGGGTGGTGAGGGGCGCACCAAGCCGGCTCCACGGCCCCGCCCGGGGTCCCGCGGAGCGACAGGGTGCGGGACTGGGAGCGCGCGGCTGCGCCCGGGCGCGGCGGCAGCGGGAACCGGAGCTCCTGCCTGAGCCTGGCGCTCCGGTCAGACATTATTTAGCTCTTCGGTTAAGCTTCGATTGGTCAAACGGCACCGCCCCCCCTCCCCACCCGGCTTGCCCGCGCTACCGATACCCGTGCGGGGCGGCCGCTTAAAGGGAACGCCGCGCCTTTTCCTCGCTGGAGCTCAGCCCTTGGCGCTTTCCCGGCCAGCGTGCCGCACACTGCCCTACCTAGCTCCGGCCCCACAGGGGGCCGCGACGTGGCGCTACGCGAATTCTTCGCCCACCCGGGGCGCCTCTGCGGTTCGCCAGCGCCGCGCCCACCGCTCTTGGAGGCAGGGGAATCCCTGGCCCGGGCAACCGTGCGTCCAGTGCTCTCCGTGGAAACCCAGAGGGGACTTGTGCAAATCAGACGCCCGAGGACTTGCTCCTTTCTCTGGCGACCCCTCCCCCCATCCGGCACCCAAGTTCTGTGGGAGTGGGTTTGCGTTTCCCCAGCCACAGACACACCTTCCCGCACCTTCCCACACGACAGAGCCTTGCAAACGCGAGCACACAATGAAATTGCACTTAGCATTGGGGCTGTGGGTTTACTCCGCTGCCTTAAACACTTCGACTTAAACAGAGTTCGCGCACTGACCTCTCTAGAATTTGCCTAATACGAATTCAATCAAGATAATAACGGCATTTTTTATTAATGAACGCCACCAGATAACGTTACACTAAGTTAGTTGCTGCAGCCAGGAAGCTGAGGCAATGAGAGACCTCACTAAAGCCACACGCTTCCAGCCGACCAAACAGAGGAAAGCAGAAAGAAAGAAAACCCACCTTTTCAGTCACTACTTGTCAAAGTAAACATCAAGACAGATGCTCAGGGGGAGACTTTGGCCCGAAAACTCCCAGACTCTATTATTTCTTCACGCTCCCTTCGCTTAAAAAGAAGGGAGCGAGGAGTCTTTGGTGCCCGGCGCGTACTCCTTCTGTTCCGCAGCAAAGAAGTTAAATTATTGATAGTGGAAATTGCATGGTGGAGGTAATACTCGCACCCCCTGAGCGAGGAGCTCCATTTGATCTCGGCAGAGGCAGGGAGATTTCATACTAGCTCGCCGAGGGGGAGAGGCAGCGCGAGCAGCCCTCTCCGCTGTGAATGGGAAAGTGGGTGGGAGTCCACGAGAGGGCTCCACGGTGTCTTGACGTGCACTGTCATATGATACCTCCGCTGCCTCGAAATAGACACTCTAGTGCACGAATTACCAGAATCAAAATTCAGCGCACTTAAAATGATACATCTTTTATTAGAAGAGTTCCGTTCCAGGCCATTGCATGCTTCTGCAGATGTTTTCACTTCCAGCCCTAGCAAACATACAAACATAAGCCAACCCTTTTAATAATGAACCTGGGCAGCAAAGATAAATAAAAAGACTTCTGCTTTAACCAGAGTGGGGAATAGGGTTGCTTCGGTTCACCAGCTCCTCCACCCCTCCACTTAAGGGCAGCAAGAAGTAAGCGGTCTTTAGGGTTCTTACTTAGCTTTTTAGCTAAGACCCCAAGAGGGAACTTAAATGGCCAGGGTCCAGAGGACCATTTCCATGAACTATTTAACAACACTGTCAACATTCTGAATTAGATTCCTACTTTGAAGCTTTATTTTCCTCCCATTAGTTTAACCAATTAGTATGCAATAAGGCAGGTGTTAAAATTTAGAATGAGAACGATGCTTTTAAACAAGGGCTCTTAAGTTGGGGTCCCTGCACCACCTAGGAGAGTAAAAATCACTTGGGAACTTGTTAAAATTCAGATTCTCCCTCCCGGAAACTGTGATTTAATAGGGGTGGAGTAAAATCCAGGAATGAGCATTTTAACAAGCACCCCAAGCAATTCGGATGCAGACAATCTGAAGTCACACTTTGAGGGATGAATGTCAGAGCAATTCTCCCATCCCCCAAAAATTGTGTGGGTGGTTTTATGTGTATGTACATTTTTCTGTAATCTCAAAGGGGTGTGACCTAATAATTGCTAAGGCTCATTGCTTTAAGAATTTCCCTAAACACTCCAACATTCATTTCAGAAAAGGGCAAGATTTATAAACAGTTTCCTTTCCTGGACCCTCTGTGGTTAACAAGAATGTGCTGTTGAAGTGAATATACAATGTTCTTATATACTTGGTTCGATTTACTTAAGGGTTTACAGTTAACAAAATGAGTTCAGTTACTTTTTAGAGCATCTAAAGACTAGTGACCGAAATTATTAGTCTCATTTTACACATAAAGAACCTGAGGCTCACTGCCATGATGTGATTGCCCAAGATCACAGTTAAGTGCCAGAGCCAAAACTTCAATTCTCACTCAGAATAACCCTGCCGTCACCTGAAATAAATGAAGCTATCTGTTCCTTGGAAGTGTTATGGGATGTGTGATCGTTCAGAATAGCTTTGCAAATTGTTGGACTGAATTGTCAAATTATTCAAATATATGCACATTCTTCGAGTGTCACACATTTAGCTTTGTACCTCTGTCAACTTGACAGAGCACATGACCAATACAAACTACACTACAGCACAGATGATGGGGTTTATTACAGAATGTTTAATGTATATGAAAGATGCAGGCTAACCAGAAAGCAGTAGAGGATAGGGAGCAGGAAACTGGGCTTGGCTACCTCAAGGAATTGGTTCCTTGCATTGGTTCCTGGAAGTGTAGGATAATGCAGACACAATTTCTTTTAATCTCTCAATATAATTTAGCAGGTAAGTTTTATAAAACAAAGCAAAACAAAACAAACGTGCACAATTTTAGATAGGACTGGAGAAGTTCTGATCCCAATCTTTAAAATAATAATAATAATAATAAACTTAGGTTAACACTGATGCTTATCTTGCAACTTTTAATTTGCTTGGTAGTGAGTTACTTGCCATGTTTTAAACTCAGTCCTACTTTACTGAAATATACCTAACAAAGGGATATCAAGAATCTCAGCTAGCATTCACAAGGCTGCTCAGAGGAAGTGTGAAACTTTTTTTTTTTTAACTTCTTAGTATGATTTGGATGAAAGTTTACAGAGCAAATTGGTTTTCTGTTCAACAGTTCATACACACTTGTTTTGTGATGTTGATTGTAGTCTATGCCAACTCTTCTACCTTCTAAATTCACATTGCCAGGTCAGCATTTCTACTAAAGGAAAAGTGTTCTCATTTGATCCATGGCCACCCATGTTATTTCTACTCTCCTTTGAAATTATACAAACAAATGTTTGTATCTTCCTTTTCCAGTGTGTGGTGCAGCTTTACTGAGGAAAAGACAGAGAAGTCAGAAATGGTAGGAATATTTAAAAATAAAAGAAGATCAAATGCCAATTCAGAGAAACTTTCTGATGAATCAGAGCTATCAATACATCCATATATTTCTGAACTTTCTGATGTTTGAATATAGCATTAGCAAAGCAGTAAGAGACTAGACTTAAAATATTTGCCATTTCTCTTCAAGTACATTTTACATTAAAAAGCAGTGATGCCAAGATGAGTTAAAAGTGTACAAGTGCTTTGCATGGAATTCTGAATATTTTTGTTGTTGTTGTTTAATTTAGGTAGCATATGGAGATAGTTTTAAAGGTTTACGATAAAGTGTTTGACCAAATTATTTTCCTGCTGTCATCAAGGGTGATGCTGGGAAGATAGAGCGTGCATTTCTGATTCTTAAGTATTTATCTCTGCTATGATTGATACACTTGGGGCAAAGATTCCATGTTTTGGTAGAATTTTATGATCTGAACATATTCTCTACTATCAAAAGAAGGAAAGTTCCACTGCTTGAAAATAAAATGCTGCCCATTTCTTTTTTTTTTTTTTTTTTTTGAGGGGGAAGTTAATGGCCTAAAACTATCCTAAATGTTCCAGGGACACAATAATCAGGAAGAAATGTGAATGCCCATCTATTCTTGTCAGGAAATATAAACTAATCCTCATTACCCAAGTGAGAACAGAGGCAGTAAGCTCAGATGTGACACTGACATATTCTTTTCTACTAATAATTTTAATTGCCTGGAGATAGTACTACTACCACTGAAAGCATTTTGTTTGTTTAAGTTTCCTAGTTACTCTTGCCTTCAGTCTCCTTTGCAGAAAAAAACAGTGTGTGTGTGTGTGTGTGTGTGCGTGTGTATAGTTGTTTAATCAAATGAATTGACCTAAAAAAAATTACTGATATTGGAAATAATTAGCATAGGGAAATGATAAGTAAATAGAACTTCTCTACTGAACAGAGTGGCAAAGGGCAGTTTTCAAATTCCTGCTGAATGATTTCAAAGCCCCACCCAGAGTAGAACTGTGTCACTTACAATCTTTCAAATTATTAAATAAGACCTTTCCTGAGAAAATTCTTAAGGGAGAATTAATTGCCTTCTGCAGTAGACAGTACTTTTTTTTTTTTTTTAAAGTGTATTCTATTTCTGTAAGCTTTTAATGAACCATAAGCATAGCCCTATACCATACTTAAATGTGTCCACCTTGGTCAACAACTGTTACAGGAATTACGTATATAGATATAGTCATTAAAGGCAGACAAAAGAAACAAACCACAGTAAGAAAACTTTTGAAGGGCCAAGATTACTAGGGTAGAACAAGAGGGTCAAAACTGATCACATCTGGGAATATTTAGTTGAATCAAGAAAAACAACACAGAAACTATTTTGAAATAACTGAGACTAACACCCAAACATATGAGAATCATCAATTTGTTACCAGGTTTTCCCTGAGAACATTTTAAAATAAATAGTAAAAAATAAATTGGTTTACTCATCATCATATCTCTGTAAGCATGGTCAAAAGGGATATGAGACTGTGGACTTAGAACAAAATTTAGAACTGACAATGATAGCTCACTGAGGTGTTTGTTTATTTGTTGGTTCTGTTGGGCCAAGAGCCATCCGAAGAACTAATACATTTATACCAAAGGATTCTAGGGCATTGAATCAAATATAGGAGCAGTTTATCCTCCTTTTAAAACCCAATAATTTAGACTGTGTGATGATTAGAATGAGAGGTTTACTACTGTGAAATTTTATATTCTAAATGGAAAAAAATAGAGAAAGATAAAAAAGCATGCACAAAGATAATTGATTTAGAAAACAATGATTACTGAACTTGCCAAAGTCATATTTTAAAAATGCATTAAGAATTCAGAATTCAATCTGGTTTTCATGATTCAGATTCATGCATCAACATAGTGCCCTTCCTTTAATGGTCTTTTTGATGGACTCTGGGCAGGATATATGGTAGCATAGTGCCTAAGGCACTTGACTGCTAACCAGAAGGCTGGTGGTTTAAACCCACCAGCCACTCCACGGAAGGAAGATGGGGCAATCTACTTCCGTAGTGATACTGCCTCGAAACCCAAAGAAGGGTCACTATGAGTCGGGTCTGACTTGACAGCCAACAACAACAATGGGCAGGATATGCCACTGGCTCTGTCATCCTAGTCCTTGAGATAAGTTGATAAAGACTGATAGAGATAAAACCCTCAATAGCCCATATATAGCAGCAAGAGTTAAGCTTTAGATTTGTCTAGCATACAGGACCATTTGGAAATAAATGTATGAAACTCTTGACTTTCTTTCTCAACTACCATTTTATTTTACCTTCACTTCACAGTTACATTCATTCAATTGATGAAAACTTGTTGAGTACCTAGTAAGTATCAGATATCGTTCTATGGCTCATGATCCAGGCAGATGAATGAAAAACACACTTCAGCTCTTTAGGTGCTCATATTCCAGGAAATAAAAGTTGTCTTGTCATCCTTGGGTCACTTGTGAATTTTTTAAGGGTAGGAAATTATGTTTTGTTTTTGTTTTCCCTTGCTATAGGTTTGATATACAGATGCTCTAATTGCACAGTGGTTAAGGTATTCAGCTGCTAACCAAACAGAGGTTTGAACCCACCAGGTGCTCCACAGGAGAAAGATGAGGTAGTCTGCTTCTATAAAGATTTACAGCCTTGGAAACTCTTTGGAGCAGTTCTGCTCTGTTCTACAGGGTCACCATGAGTGGGAATTGACTTATGGTCATGGGTTAAGTTTGATGTATGGAAAGATGAGGATCAGTATGCCCCTAGTGGCCAGGGGATGATAGTGATATACAAG